CAACGAGATCTTATCTTATGGGTCCGGATATGGTGGTAATTCTTTACTAGGTAAAAAGTGCTTTGCATTGCGTATTGGTAGCACTATTGCGAAACGCGAAGGTTGGTTAGCCGAACATATGCTTATATTAGGTATAACGAATCCGAAGGGCAGAAAGATATATATCGCAGCTGCGTTTCCATCAGCTTGTGGAAAAACAAATCTAGCTATGATGACTCCAACCCTGCCAGGTTACAAAGTGGAGTGTGTCGGTGATGATATAGCCTGGATGAAATTCGATAGCGAAGGTGTGCTGCGAGCAATAAATCCCGAAAATGGCTTTTTTGGGGTTGCTCCAGGTACTTCCATGTCAACCAATCCTATTGCAATGAAGACCATTTTTAATAACACTATTTTCACAAATGTGGCATCTACTTCGGACTGTGGGGTTTACTGGGAGGGAATGGAAGAGACAAATATTAATAACGTTATAGTAACCGATTGGATGGGTAAGCTATGGTCTAACCAATCCAATAAACCAGCAGCACATCCAAATTCTCGTTTTTGTACACCCGCTATTCAATGCCCCATTATTGATCCATCCTGGGAAGACCCACAAGGTGTACCTATAAGCGCAATTCTATTCGGTGGCCGTCGCCCAAAAGGAGTTCCACTAGTATACGAGGCCCGTAGTTGGGCACACGGTGTTTTCATAGGTGCAGCAATGCGCAGTGAAGCCACAGCAGCCGCCGAGCATAAAGAAAAAGTAATAATGCATGATCCATTTGCAATGCGTCCTTTCTTTGGTTACAACTTTGGAGATTACCTCAACCACTGGTTGAGTATGGAAAAAAGAGGAAGAGTACCGAAAGTTTTTCATGTTAACTGGTTTCGTAAAAGTACAGATGGAAAATTTTTATGGCCAGGTTTTGGTGATAACTGTCGTGTTTTGGACTGGATTTTCAGACGCGTGCATGGCGATAATTGCTTTATAGACAGTCCTATTGGTTATTTGCCTAGCGAAGGTGGGCTGAATATGACAGGACTACATCCAACAGTCAACCTAAATGAACTTTTTGACGTACCTATTGACTTCTGGCAAACAGAAGTCAATGAAATTGAACAGTACTTTAAAATGCAAGTAGGTGAGTTTCTACCAAAATCAATATCTCAGCAATTGAATGAATTAAAGAAGCGCTTAAATAAATGATAATGCCTGAATAAATGATACGTTTTATCAATTTGAAAAATATATAAATTAACATATATACATATGCATGCACATAAACATTTATTTTATTTTTAACTAGAGTTAAAGAATAGTAAGTTAATTATGTATTAACCAACGAGAAAGAAGAGTGCATGCGAACATTATTACTCTTGAAAATAAAAAAAATTTCACCCATGCAAAAATATTTAGACTCGGTTCAGCCCATAGTACCCCAGGTCCGAAATAATGGTTTTCTATCTTTTAAGGGTTTCTCCGAACCTATGACTAACTTTAAACGGAAAAAAATATATATTATTTGAATAGATATTCGAGAAATTGTCCAGGTTGTCGTTATTCTGGTTGACTTTATACAATATACAATGTATACATATGAGAATCAGTGCCTTATATGCATATGTTAGCAAAATTAATTGAACGGACCATATACTGTTGGTTGTTGTTAAAGATGGAGTGCGTTCATTTTGTGTAGGAATGTTTATTGGAAAAAAAATGTGGTAATTATAAAAATCATATCGTTGTGTGATAGCTGACGTTTATTCAATACTTGTTCCATTCTCCCGCGTTTTCTATTATAGCCAGACATCTTTGATGGCAACGTGCAACTAAAATTTCCGTAAATTCCACAGGAAACAACCTCCAGTTATCTGGTCGCCGGAAATCTTTCTTGATATTTGGGCTTTCATTAATGGCCAAAATTTTCTCTATTGAATTGTCTGGTAACTGATTGCCCATATGGTTTCTTGTTTCCATTGAGTACAGAGTCCGCTCCTACGTTTCGGGTCATTTTGTTTATTTTATGCAATTTAATTATTTGTCCAATTTTTCTCTGAAGAACCTCAAAACTGTAAATCAAAAAGCAGAGACAAATTCATAAATATGCTCCTTTTGTGTTTGTTTAACACTCCCTTGAATAAATGTTTAAATACTAAGAATATACTTATTTGGTTTATAAGTTCCCTCATCCTTCCTTCCCCAGCTCTAATAGAATAGAAATAGATACACATTTCATGGAAAATTTTGTAATATTTGGATATATGTTCATATGATTAGTTCTAACACATTTCTAGAGTATATAAATCATCTGAAGCGAAGTTAACCCATCGTTACTGACATTCATAAATAAAAGTTACAACGGATTGGTTGGGTGTAACCGAAGAACTTTTTATACTCTTGTAACGGCAAGGATCAAAGCTAAATAGCTAAATACCTCCAAGTGTTAGCAATATTGGAAAATGTAAGGAAAGTGTTCAACTTCATTGTTCGACGAAATCGTGAACGAATCACAATCAAAGCGAAAAGTATACTAAAATCATCCTCAATCGATTTTATCTATGTTTGATAATGCCACATACAATTAACATGGCGAATACTTATAAAGTACTCATACCACTTACACCATCACCATGCAAAGTCAGGCGGATGTTCGAAAATTCTAATAATAGGGGCCAGCTAGTTTTTCTCTGATTGTATCCGTTTTAGGCACAAAGATTCAATTATATATCTCACATATTGGAATATAAAATTTAATGTCTCTAACGAATTTAGTTATTGATTGGAATTTTGAAGAGATTTTAAAAAGCCGTTATTTGAGGAGTTTGCGAGGTTATCATCTGATTTCGCCTATTTTACAGTATCTTAAGAAGAATTAAAGAAATTTGACCTGTGTAAATTGGGTTGACATTGCTTTATTGGTTTGTAATCCAAATCCTCCTTACATCCTTACAGATAATGTTTTAAATTACAATTATAATTAATTACAAAATAATTTTTTATTACAAATTATACATCACAGCTATTTTATGCTTCTGTTGGTGAAATAATGCTAGACTTGTTAAAGCTTTGAATAATTTTACATTTGATATACATATTAGTGGCAAGAATACGTCTGCTCAGTGTCGTCAGAAAATTAGGAATGGCTTAAATTAAGCAACAGCGACAACTGCAAGTCTACCGCTAAATAACTGTTCCCATAAGAAGGTGTGTATTTTAATTTTTGACAGAACCTTCCTAACGCTTGTCACCACCATGTGTTCCATGCAACATTCTTTAGAAACATTGAAGTGGTAAGTAACAGTTAAAAAAGTTTGTAAAGTATTAGAAAACCCTCCACATTTGTTCCTATCTATTCCATTTTGGGCTAAGGTTTTCCACTTATTTTATTTAAAAAGAACCTACATATGTAATACTCACGTAGTTATGTTATTATTCGCAAAATCATACAATAGAATCCTAAACTTTTATCTTTCCTTGCTTGTATTGATTCTTTATTTATGAGAGAGTGTAGAAGAAATTGGCATTGTCCAGAAAGAGGTTTTCCTCCGTTCTACTCGACATAAGCGTGCAGCTAATTTACTAAGCATGTATGAACTTATAAGAACTTTGTGCATACATACATTTAAATATATGTATAACAGTAAGTTTGGGAAATTTTAATCACAAAACAATATTCACTATTGCTCAGTTTATTTGATTACGGAGTAATTATTTTGTATTATTCAAGGTGCTTCCTCGAAAGATAGTGTTACATTCCCGTTTCATTAACATTAACAAGAAGCTAACACTCACAGGTCTATTTTATGAATGATCAATATTAAAACTTAGTTTGGCTATGGTTTTGAAAAGCGTTAATATTTATAGTAAATTAATGCACAGCTTTCTTATCTCTGGAGTCGTATATTGAAGTTTAGTTATCTACACTAGCAGCTTAGAAAAAAATCGGAACACTCCCTATGATATAACGCTATAAAAACTGATCTAAATTGTTCCTAAGTTAAAAAAATAAAAGTACAACTAAGAATATGTAAATTGTAATTAAGTTTTCCGGGTAAAGGATATTTTGCTAAGTCAAATTTGTCTCAAATCTTGTATTTCTAACCTAATTTCGTGTGTGGAATCGTTATGATTGTTGGAAAACATTCAGTCGGTGAGTCAGTTTTATCAAAAACACAAACTTATGAGTGGTACAAAGCCTTCAAAGACGATATAGAGATCATTGAAGATATGCCTCGTCGTGGACAACCTTCGACCGATGTAAATATTAAAAAAGTGAAGGATGTGGTGCTTGAAAACGTCAGGTAAGTGTTAGAGAGATGGCAAGACTCTAACGCGAGTTCATTCGAAGGATTTTGGTGGATATTTTGGGTATGAAACGCAATCTTTTCGACTCGCCTCGATAAAGCTGAGCATTTTTTATCAAAAAGAGTACCGTAAACAGGTCTATTTGGACATGCTTGGTCGTGCGATTTCCGATCCCACATTATGATGAACGTTATAACTGCCGATGAGAAATGGGTTTGTGAGTTTAATATACAAGCAAGTCAACAATACTACTACTTTATATAATATAAAAATATAACAAACAAGTAAGGAAGGGCTAAGTTCGGGTGTCACCGAACATTTTATACTCTCGCATGATAAAATGATAATCGAGATTTCAGGCGTGGTTGTGAACCGATTTCACCCATAT